CCCTTCCCGCCTCCACCCAAACCTTTGAGGAATGGAAGGGGACCCCCCCCCCTCCCCAAACAGAGGAGGTGAGCTGTGCCAGCTTGGCCCCTTTCCAAGGAACCTTTTAAGCTCTCCTGTCCGTGCCAAGAGCTTTAGCAACTCGGCATGATAGATGTGGAGTAAGCTCCTTTTCTCAGAGTACAGTTGAGGCTGGCAGGGTTAGCGGCCAGAAAAACAGCAGCTGCAGCATCCCAAATCTCGTAAGCCAGCAAGTTGGCTTCCCAGGACCAAAGACCTGCCAAACCATAAGGCTCAAACAAGCTAGTTTCCTCTTCTACTACCCAGTGAAGACAGGGGTGCAAAACCGGAGGCCAGGCCTGTTTCTAGGGGAGGAATGAGGGGAAGGAAGGGTTTGTCCTCGCTTCCGAATCGAATTCCTCAACTGATTCCTTCGAAATCGTGCGAAGTACATTAGTACCGCTTTATAAAGCCTTAGTAAGGCCACACCTGGAATACTGGAACCAGGTTTGGTTGCCACATTGCCAAAAATTGGGGGAGGGGGAGGTGCAGAGAAGCGCAACTAAGATGATTAAAGGCCTGGAAGCAGAAACATTTGAAGAACGGTTGCAGGATTTGGGTAGAGAAAAGAAGGACTAGGGGAGACACGATAGCAGGATTCCAGTATTTGAGGGGCTGCCACAAAGAATGGAATAGAATAGAAATAGAATGAAATAGAAATAGAAACAGAAACAGAATAGAAATAGAAGAGAATAGAAATAGAATAGAAATAGAAATAGAATAGAATAGAACAGAATAGAAATACAATAGAAATACAATAGAATAGAATTAGAATAGAAATAGAATAGAATAGAAATAGAATAGAATAGAATAGGAATAGAATAGAATAGAAATAGAAATAGAAATAGAATAGAATAGAAATAGAATAGAAATAGAATAGAACAGAAATAGAAATAATAGAAATAAATAATAGAATAGAAATAGAAATAGAATAGGACCTTAGAGATCTTCTAGTCTAGCCCCCTGCTCAAGCAGCAGAAGAACAGTTGGTCAATTTATTCTCCAAAGCACCAGAAGGCAGGACAAGAAACAATGGATGGAAATTAATGAAGGAGAGAAGCAACCTGGAATTGAGGAGAAACTTTCTAACCATGAGGACAATCAACCAGTGGAACTGCTTGCCACCAGAAGTTGTGGACGTTCCATCACTGGAGGTTTCTAAGAAGAGACTGGACAGTCATTTGTCTGGAGTGGTATAGGATCTCCTGCATGGGCAGGGGGCTGGACTAGAAGACCTCCAAGGTCCCTTCCAGCTCTATTCTGATTCTGATTCTTTGCTGGTTGTTGGACGTGGAAGGATTATATTCCGTACATCTGGAAGGAAGCAAAGTTTTTTTTTTAAACAGGTTAAAATTATTAGGAGGGATCTTGTAGGTCATCTAGTCAAACCCCCTGCCCAAGCAGATGGCAGTCCAGTCTCTTCTTGAAAGCCTCCAGGGATGAAGCTCCCACAACTTCCAAAGGCAACTTCTGTTCCACTGGTTGATTGTTCTCCCAGTCAGGAAATTCCTCCTTATTTCCAGGTTGAATCTCTCCTCGATCCGTTTCCATCCATTGTTCCTTGTCTGGCCTTCAGGGGCTTTGGAAAACAACTTGACCCGCTCCTCCCTGTGGCAGAGGTGGATGAGTTAATCGCCATTCCCGAGGAAGGGGTTTCTCTTCCCCTTGAAGCTTGTTTTAAGAGTTTGCACGGTGCAAAAGGGTGTCTCACTGATGCAACTCCAAGCTGTTGTTTCAACAGAGTCCGTCGTCGGCTACAAATGCCTTCGGGGCTCCAGGCAGGGGAAGGCGGTAGCTTTTAATTCCTGGCGCTGCGGGTCTCCCGGGAGAGAAACGAGACAATCAGAATGAGGGAAGGGGCGACATCAGAAAGGGAAGCAGGTGGCCGTTAAAAATGAGGCAAGAGATGATTAGCGAAGGCAACCCCAGGAGGACCCGAAGCGAAGCCGGCTAGAATCAGACCCAGCTACAATTCCACTCACCCCGAATCTCAGTCCACCTCGCTTCCTGCTGGTGCTTCCCTCAGACCCAGGAGCTCTTGGGGGATCAAACTCCCAAAGACACT